ATGGGACCTGGAAAGGGAAGGATGACATTGAGTAACAGTGGGTACTCCGGTTTGGCTGGAGAACAGAGCATAGGAAACTACACGCAATCACTAGCAGAATGTATCACTTACCGTGCAATGCTCCCCAACCCCTGACCCCAAAGATTTTTATGGGCAGCCTTATGAAGAACCAATAGTCCTTAAAGGGAAGCCTGAGGGGTGCCTGTTGAAAGGGGAGGGGCAGCCTTGCTGGTTATGATGATGATAATAATAGTATTTATACAACACAGAGGCACCATGGTCCAGTGGATAGATACGACCTGGGAATGAGGAAGACCTTGGTCTTCTGGCCTCTGAAAAATAACTGGTTGTGATCCCAGAGGTAGTCACTCAGAACCCCAGGACACGCCAAGGTATGTGCTTCACCAGCGTCTTTCTCTACCCATGGAGCCAGATGGGGGCCCATCACACCCCCAGAACTCCTGGTTCCCCTCCCCTCCCCCATCACAATGGGATTCAGGCAAACCCTGTTTCCCTAGAGGAGAAGACCCTTCCAAGACCTCACCATTCTAGGCTGCAGAGGAATTTCACATCTGTACTGGTAAAGGGAGTTTACTCACCAGGAGTTCCCTACCTCAATGTAATCACAGGTCTGGATTCCTGCAAAAATGTACACATATAGCACCTTGAGCCTCTTCACATACATGATCTCATTTCATCCTCACAAGAACCCAGGGAGGTAGTGTCAAGCATAATCTCCATTTTACAGATGAGAACACTGAGCCTCAAAAAAGATTTAAGTTGTTTACCCAAGGTTCATATAGCTTCTCATACAGGAGGTGCTTAATAAATGTTTGCTAAATGAATGAATGAATAGCAAAAGAACCCAGTAGCTATCAAAGTTAAGTGATAGTCCAAGATCATACAAACTCCTAATTAGTAAGGCTGGGCCAGAAAGCCAGGCCTCCATCTCCTTCCTGTGCTAATGTTATTTCCACTCTGCAGAGAGAATGGTGGGGGAACTCTGTCAGCAGAATGGGTATAAATGAGCATAGGCATTTTCTGTACCTCCTTTTGCCTGCTCTCTTCCTCAGGTCACAGACCAGTGACTTCCCCCTACCCTAACTTAAGCCTTAGAGCACATCAGTTCTCTGCAGACCCCGAGTAATATATCATCTCTCGACACAGGACATGGGTGCCAGTTCTGAGGATAGAGAGGGCTGGGAGGAGGGAGGTTCCCAACCCCTGCCTCCCATGTGCCCAACCCCTGCCTCCCATGTTCCCGTCTCCTCCCCAAGGCCGATTGCTCAGTTCCCATTTTTTTTACCCTCCCCCATCCAACCCAGGGGGAAACGAAAGTACCAGAGGCTGGCCAGTGCCTGGGTGACTCTGAACCCTGACTCATTGTGGGGAGTAGGAACTGTTGATGGGGGTGGAAGGAGGGGTTCAACCCTAGGTTCAAGAGAAAATTCTTACTAATAGCATTAGACAAAATTGTAAATGGCCACACTAACACTTTTCTCAGGCATCTCCTTGGACTGTGAACTCCTAAGCTGAAACTGTCTTTTGCCTTTCTTGATATCCTGGTGCTTAGCATATTGCCCCACACATAGCAGGCACTGAATAAATGCTAGGTGACAGACTAACTGAGAACTCTTGCATGAGTCATTCACACCTTAGTATAAATTTAGATTAATTTGTTGCCTCCTCACACTTTAAGTTCTCTAAATGTAGATTTTTAGGGCAGCTGGGGGTACAGTGGATAGAGCTCTGGGCCTGGAGTCAGTAAGGCTCTTCTTCCTGAGTTCAAATCCAGCCTCTGACACTTGCTAGCTGTGTGACCCTAGGCAAGTTACTTCACCCTATTTGCCTCAGTTTCCTCATCTGTAAAATGAGCTGGAGAAGGGAATGGCACACTACTCCAGTATCTTTGCCAAGAAAACCCTAAATGGGGTCACAACACAACTGAACGACAACAAAAATGTAAGTTTTAAAAGGTTTTGTCAGCAATGGGAATTTGGGCATCTGCTGGTAGGCAGTGACATTTTGGTGGGGACAGAGTCCTTTCTACCTGCCCAGGACAAGAAAAGAGGGAGTTAACATAGGGGAAGTGTCCCGAGATAGAATAAATTAATGGAGGTGGTCTGATTCTCTGCACTCTATCTCCCCACTCTTCTCAACACCAACCCCTGAGCTAGGGGACAGGAGTAGGTGATAGTGGAAAGTCCTAGGTCTTAGCCTGGGAAAGGGGAAGTAGGAAAAACTGAGTCATCATGTATATACCCTCTCCCAAACCAGAAGCACAGTGAGAAAGAGGAATACCCTGTGGTTACAGATCTGGGCTCTAACACTCCACCTGGGGTTCTTAACCTGGGGGATGAGATACATATATATGCATACATATATACATATATACATACATACATATACATATACATACATATTTTATATAGCTATACATGTACATAAATATATATTTAGAACTATATTTCAATAATTTGTTTCCTTTGTAATCCTGTATGATTTATTTTATACATTTAAAAACATTCTGAAAAGGGATCCCTAGGCTTCACCAGACCACCAAAGCAGTCCATGACAGAAATAACGGATATGAACCCCTGATCTAATTGAATACCTTCATTTTGCTGATGAGGAAAGTACATCCCAGACAGGGGAAGTGATTTGCCCAAAGTCACAGAGCTGAGTAGAAGAGGTGGGATTCAAACCTGGCTCCTCCGACTGCAAATTCAGCACCAAGGTTTGCAAACGGAAGCCTTTGTCCTGAAATCTTTGCCTCAGACAGAACTTGGAAAGGGAATAGAAGGAGAGCAGTAGCTCTCATTTTCCCAAATGAGGAAGCAAATGCAAAGTGAGACAGTTCATTCCAGGACAGGGTCATGGGAAATACCGCCTCTCCTCTCTACCCCCAGGTAGTAGCTCATCAGTGAGTAACCATCTCCCCTCCCACCCCCAGGGCAGAGAGTTCAAGTCTGCACTTGCTGTGCCCTCTGCTTAGCCCTTAGTCCCCAAAACATAAAACTTGACCTTAAAGCCAGTCTCCAGGAAGTGTTTTCTTTTAAACTGGGGAATCTTCCCTCCAGTGGGGAGTGGCAGCCTGAGGGCCAGGACTCCTGGGTTCCCATTCTGACTCCAGCCCACCCCCACCCACACCCCCACAACTTGCTCTGCTACCTGATGGTGGCCATCCTCCTCTGGGCTCTCAGTTTCATTTCCAATCTGATATACTCAGGGTCATTTCTCCCGCAAAGGCCAATGCAGTCCCAGGGGCTTCTCTAGGAAATGGAGGAGTACCTTGCCCCACCCACGCTCACCCCAAGTTTCCCTTCCTCTTTTTCTTAGTGGATATGGTTTGGGGTTTTTTTTTTTTTTGTTGTTGCTGCTGTTTTAATCTGAGGAGAGAAACTGTCGGTCAAAGTCAGTGAAATACCTCCTCCGTAGGGGAGGATCCCACCAAGAGTTTGGACGGATCTCTCTTCTTCCCTTCAAGAGGCTGACATGGTGCTAATGATGCCAAGGTCCAGAGTTTAGTCCCCATAAAAAGGAGAAGCCTAGGCCAAAGCAATAGTCTCTTGTCTGACTCTCAAGAATTGCCTTTTATTTTTATTTATTATAGATTTATATGTGCATATGTAAGTATTATATATTTATTATATATAATAGTACATTTATTAAACAAGCATTTATGAAACCCCTACTGTGTGTCAGGTATTGTGCTAAGTGCTGAGGATTTAGAGAAAGGCAAAAGACCAGTAACTCACAATCACAAGGGGGAGACAACATGCAAACAAATACTTGAAAAGAAGCTATGGACTGGATAAAAAGGAAGTAATCAATGACGCATGGCACTGGAAGAGGGGTCAGGAAAGGCTTCTACAAACGTGGGGTGGGGGGCTCAGCAGAACCCATCCTCAACTACATAAAGCACACATCAGACCCAGTGCTAGTCAGGCTACAAGAAGGGGACCAGGTCCCCCTATCTTTTTCTATCAGCCAGGATTCCCTGGGACCTCAGTCATTCTGAGAAACCAGGGTCACGTGGATTCCAGTGAAGATTCTTCAGGGAACGGTTGCTCAGGAAGAGCAAACAGCCCTGGGTCAGTCAAAAGTCCTAGGACCCGGGATGCCCCAGGCTTTACAGACCCAGCCTTACCCTAGGCCACCAACCCTACTGCCACCGACTTCTCTCACAGATTCTAATTAAGAAGCCCAAGGGTCTATCTCCTTCCCACCCTCCAGCAAGATAAATTCTCTCATTCCAGCACCCACCTCCGCACCCCAGGGAGATGGATTTAGGGTTTCCAGATTAGGGATGAAACAGCCAATTCTTCTCCACCTAAGGAGGTCCCTCGAGGGAGAGCCCAAAATAATTGAACATTTTTTTTTTCCACAGAAGGGTAATCTGAGGCAAGCAAAGGGACCCAGGCAATCAAGCTGGGGTTCCCTACCCCTGCCTACAGGTGCTGAGAAAAGTCATTGCCAGGAGATCTGCAAGTCCCTCAACCTCTCAGGACACATTTCCTCACCTATAAAATGGGGATAAATATATCCTCACCTACCTACCCCATTGGGTTGCAGGAGACAAAAGTGCTATGTAAACATTATTATTATTCTTACTACACTCCCTTGGGTGGGGAGTTTCAAAGGCAGAATCTTCCTCCAAAGAAAAGGAACAGTCTTGGAGGGCCTCCCTAGATCCACACCCTAAGGGGCAGCAGGAACCACCCAAAGGGGCCATAGCAACTTCATGGAGGATGGGGGGGCCCAGACTCAGTCATTCTCAGAGCCCCGGAGGCACAGCCATGGACAGTCAAGCAGCATGTGGGCACTGGGCAACTCTACCTTACTGAAACTCCCCTTTGAGAGCCTCTACCCTGGCCACGGGTTCTCTTGGGTCCTGTCTCCCCAGCTGTGTGTGGGGGGGGGAACGGACCCCAGATTAACCTCTTCTATCTGACACAACCCCTCCCACCCCTTTTCCTCCAAAGGCACATAGAACTTACCCAGTCCTGCTCTGGTTGCCCCTTGCCAGACTGTGGTCTCTAGAGCACTGAAACACCCTTGCCTGCTGCAGTCCTGGTCAATCAGGTGTAGCTTCTGACTCAGGGGCCCTATGTCTCCTGTGGTTGCCACCCGTAATGTGAGGCTAGAATAGGCCTTTTCTGGGTCCTTCTGTGTTGCTGCCCAAAGGGTGGTGTAAGAGCTTGTCTCTCCTGCAGGCTCCTCCCTCCTTAGCCAGCCCCCTCCTGATTCCTCCCGGCTCTCTAAAGCTCCCCCTCCATTGAAGGTTTGCTCAGTTGGGGTAGGCTTCTCAGTGACCTCTTGTAGTGATCAGGCTGCTCTGCCCATTGTTCTAAATTCTTCCTATCCAGAATTCCAAGAAAGACACCCAGGATCATTGCCTGGCTCTCGGTTCACTTAGAAATGAGGAGACATCCTTCACTAATCCCTCCTTGGATTAAAAAGTCTGGGTCCCCTACCCTGTTTGCTGTTTTGAGGTGGGAAGGAATTCAGAGTGGAGGGCCCTGGAAGGAAATGGACAAGAGCCAGGCAGAGGCTGAATGCAAAGCTTTCTGAGTTCATTTGCAGAAAGGAACTTAAACTAGAGGCTTTGATTTTACTCTTGGGCACATGGATATAGAAATCTATCCCAGGTCTTTCCCTCTCTGACATAGCTCCCATCCATAGTCCAGAGGCCATCCAGCCCAACCCCCTTATTTTACAGATGAAGAAACTGAGGCTTTGGAGTGATTTACCCAAATTATTAGAGGCCCCTTTGCCCCTCCCTTCCCACCCCATATCCCAACTCCACATTCCCATCCTTTTCCATTGCATTTGCATTGATGAGGTCAATGGTATATTAGAAAGATTATGAGTACCTAGCATAACGCCTGGCACCTAGGAGGAGCAAATAAGAGCTTGACTGGTTGAGGATATATGAAAGAAAAGGGGGCATTCATAATTTTCATAGCTATGTGCTCTCTTCCCCTCCCCTTCCTTCCCAAAGGCTCTCAATACCCCACAGGGAAAAGGGAGCCTGGATGGCTTTTGCCTTAGTTTGAATCCTCAGCGCTTAGCAGCGCTGCATCAATCATGGTAGGTGCTTAATTAATGCTTGTTGACTGATTGTTTCTGGAGCTTTGGGGCCAGGTAGTGGCATCCAGGGGCTATAAAAAAGCTGACACTGATTATAGGTGGCTGCTCTGCCATCCAGGTTGCTCCCTGGAAATGAGAATGGGAGGTGAGAACAGAGAGGAAGGGGAGAGGGAGAGAGGTTTTAAGACTCAGTACAGTTGGCAGGCATCAACAGAGACAGCAGGAGTACAGAGACAGACAGACACACACACACACACACATATACACACACACACCACTATTCCCACCAAGAAAGCCCATGGGGGTAGGCAGACAGAAAGGGGGTGAGGGCCAAGACCCTCAGCTCCATGTCTTGTAAGCCCTAAGCATCCCATGTTACTCCCCACGTTGGACCCTTGGACAGAGACAAGGCTGTCTCTCCTCTCCAAGTCTAGATATTCCTTGCATAGACTCCAGATTTTCAGAACCCCAGGGGTGAGCAAAATTTCTACTGTCTATCTAGATCATGGAGGAAAGACAGGCTAGAGCTGAGGAGTGAGGAGAGTGGCCAAAACACAGGCTAGCTGGGACTAGACCTCCAAAACCCTAGGCATGATGTTGGATGGGTGGAGGAGATATATGAGGTGCTAAGCTTTCAGTGGCTCTGGTTTCCTGAGTTCCAAGGCTTGTTCCTAGGTGAGCTCCAGGGACATTCCCAGCTCCACGTGGTTCCCCAGTGTTCCCTCTAGCTCCTTCTTCTTTTCACAGGGGAAAACATCTGAGAAATACTCTGGTAGGGTGAGATGCATAGCCTGTCAACACCTTTTTTAACCCCCTCCTCCCATTCCTTTGGTGTTTTCTCAGCTCCACCTCACTGGGTCTCCTTTCCTGGCCTTTGACCACAATCTCCAAACATATATTTGTGGAGGGGAACTGGTGGCCAAAGTGTGAGATTCTTCCTCCCTAGGAGATTTGGGCAAAGTGGGAACAGGACTTTCTTAAGAGAAGCAGGTGGGTATGACAGAGTACACTGGTTCAAGAGTCAGTCGGATGGCCTGGGTTCATGTCCCTCCTCTGACTCTCCTTGGGCAGTTTTAGGGGGAGGAGATAATTGGGGTTTGAGTGACTTGCCCAGGGTCACACAGTAAGTGTGTGAGCCCAGATTTGAGCTCCATGCCTCCTGACTTCAGGGCCCATGCTCTATCTGCTGGGCCACCTAGCTGTCTCACTTGGCAAATTTTTTTAACCTCCTTGAGTCTCAGTTTCCTCATCTGCAAAACAAGGAGATTGGACTAGAAGGTTTCTGAGTCCGATCTCTAGGTCTAGGATGTTAATTAGACCAAGTCCTGGACTGCAGAGTCTATAGGAGGTGATAAGTTAGAAATCAGAGGAATTGGTTGCCACTTAACAGCTGTGTGACCTTAGCAAGTCACTTAATCTTTCTGGGTCTCAGTTTCTCTCCACTGTAAAGTGAAGGGGTAGACTAGATGATTTCAAATTTTCATCCACATGCATTCTAACTCCCTCTCTCCCCCCCCCACCTCATGCTATGGGATAGGTCCTAAATCCTGAGTTTGGATTTGGGATAAGGGGATTTTGGAAGACAATTTCAATTCAACACTAAATGCCTATTATGCACCAGGCTTTGTCCTAGGCTCCGGGCATCCAAAAACAAAAAATATCAAATTCTTAGAGCACCTAAGTGGCACTGTGGCTATATCCAGCACGAAGCCTGGAATCCAGATGACTGAGCTTCATGAGTTCAAATCCATCCTCAGCCATTTATTAGCTCTGTGACCCTGGGCAAATTACTTAACCTCGTTTGCCTCAGCTTCCTCATTTTGTAAAATGAGCTGGAAAAACAAATGGCAAACCACTCCAGTATCCGCCAAGAAAACTCCAAAAAAGGTCACAAAGAGTTGAACATGACTCAACAACAAAAATCAAATTGTTTCCCTCAAGGAGCTTATACTCTATAAGAATACATAGAATATAGAGGTAAGTAAATACAAAGCAATCTCACCAAGAACTTTGGAGGTTAGGATGCTTCACATGTTTTTCAAAATAGTGACTGAATAGATGGAATACAACAGTTTCCAAAAAATAAAAATAAAAATTAGGCAGCTAAGTGCAGCAGTTTATACAGTATAGGGCTCAGAGTCAAGAAGATGGAATTCAAATTCTGCCTCAGATACTAGTTCTGTCACCCTGCCTCAGTTTCCTTATCTGTAAAATTGGAGATAATAATAACTCCTGGAGTTATCAACAGATTCAAATGAGTTAACATACATAAAGCATTTTGCATAAACCTTAAAGAGCTAGCTATGTAAGTGCCAGAAAGGAGAAAATAAATTTAAAACAATAAATGAGTAGTGCAGAGGCCCATGGGGAGTGTGAGCTGGCTGAAATTATGAAAACCAAAAGAGATGATAATTGTAAAAGGCTTAGAACTGTGCCTGGCACATAGTAAGTGCTATATAAATGTGAGCTATTATTATTAATATGAGGAACTTTGAAGAGGAGGAATCAAAACGTCATCAAAGAAATGTGTAATAGGCAGAGAATGAGTATGTGCTGATGCCGTGGTGTGAGCAAGGAATGACATGTGGACAGCCAGAGTGTCAGCTGGTATCCTGTGATGTCAGGAAAAATAGGGGAAGGCCTCCAGCACGGAGTACGAACACCATGCCCCCCTTCCCCTCCCAAACTGCAGAACTTAAGAGAAGACTGGACAGACGGGGATCTGCATCCTAGAAGGGTGGATATTCACAGGTCCTTGAGATCACAGATCTCTTTGAAAGTTGGGTGAGCGATCCTTTTCGGATAGAATAGGGCTCAGTGTTTCAAGTGCGGGAAGGAAGAGGGTAATTTTAAGAGGAACTGAAGCTCTTTATCCAAACGAAATAAGAGAATTGAGAAATCAGTCCTCGCAAACCTTAAAGCGCTATATAAATGTTAGCTAGCCTTTTCCGACCTCTCCACCCCCACCCCAATGAGCTGGAGAAGGAAATGGCAAATCCACTATCTTTGCCAAGAAAACCCCCCAAAAACCAAGAAAACCCCCCAAAAACCAAGAAAACCCAAGAAAAAAGGCTTTAAATTGAAAGTCCAACAGGAAAGCCGTCATTTCCTTCTTTAGTCCCCAACAGGGCAGCCCAGTTACAGAAAACAGACATGGTCTGTAGCCCAAGCGGCGGGGCGGGGAGCCCAGCCCAGCCCCAGAGCCCCCACCTACGGCCACAGGGTCAGCGAGGCCCCGCCCCTCTCGGCCCCGGGGGCCGGGAGCGCATTGCGGGGGGCGGAGTTATTGGGGTTGCTCTCCGGCCACGTTCCGAGCCCGAGAGGCCACGACACCTGTTGCAGGAGCTGGAGCTTGGGGGGGCCGGGGACTGCTCGGGTGGAGGGGGGCGCGGTACTCCCCTCCCCGCTTACGGAGCCGGCCCCAGCTCGGCCCTCCGCCCCGCGTCCGGTACTCAGAGCCCGCCCCCTCTTCCGGCCCGGCACTTACCTGGGCAGGTGAGCGGGCAGGCGGGCGCGCGCGCGCCGCCGACCCTGAGCCCAGAGTCTCTGCGCTCCTGGACCTCGGACCGGGATTAGCTTCCCCAGGAGCGGCTTCCTCCGCCTTCCTCCCCCGCCCGCCGGCCCACCGGCCAGCCCTCCCTCCCTCCCGCCACTTCCGCGTGGCGCCGCCCCCGCCTCCGCCTTCCCCTTGGGGCACCCACCGGGCAGCCGAGCCCACTCCCCGGGAGAGGGGAGCGGCGGGAGCCCGAACCCGCCTGGGCCAACGAAGCCCTGGCGTTCGTGCCTTCCCTGCCCGGTGAGCCCCGGACCCAGGGCAGAAAGTGCCCAGGCTTGGGCACCTCGACTCGGATTTTCAGCTCCCTCCTTGCCCGATGCGTGATCTTGGGCAAGTCATTTAATCTCTCTGGGTCTCAGTTTCCTTATCTGTAAAGTGAGAGATTGGATTTGTTGACTTCTAAAGCCCCTTTCAGTTCTCAATCTTGTGACTGGCAATTTCCAAGGGAGCCCACCTTCAGGAGTCTGGGGCACCGAGGGAAGTTGGCAACCCCTGAGCTTTGGGTTCCAGTTAGACCTTAGGACTGGTCTTTGCCTCACTCCTCCCAGCCCTCCCCAATC